ATGCCACTCACCCCGCAAGTCCGCCAAGAGCTTGGTCTTTTGACCGAGATGAAGACGCGCACGGCTGACATTAATCGATACTTGTCGGACAAGCTCGGTGGGTGCTACTATTAGGCCACTTGCAGTTGTATATTTATGCTGACGTATTTTTTCAATTTAATGATAATTTTGATATGATTTCGGATACAGATATGGTGCTAACGCCTCAGCTGACAAGAAATCTTGTGCGACAAGTGCTCGGCGAGTCGAGTACTGAGAGATCCAAGGTTATCCTGGGCAATTTTGCCGACGAGGATAGTGGTAATGATGTACTTCTCGTCCAGGATCAGCTTGATATTACTTGTATCATTGCGATGCAATCGTCAATTCAGAAGACATGCTTCGAGACCTGGGGAGACAGCTTGGTCATGGACTGGACACATGGAATTAGCAATCTGGGGTACCATTTAGGTATGTCCAACTCAGTTGTTTGTAGTTCTGATGAAAATAACATTAAAAAATTAACTAAATGTGTCACCGTTCTATAGGCAGTCTTGTTGCAACATCAGCAACGGGAAGAGGAATTCCAGTTATTGATTTCCTTGCTCTTGATCAGAAGGCAGCTACGATGAAGTACATCATAGAATTTTTCAAGCGAAAAAAAAACCGACTTGGCGCAGTGTTCAAAGCGTCGTCATCGATAAGGACTTTGTCGAATGGCGGGTTTTTGAGAAAGCTTTCCTGAACGCTAAGATACTTCTGTGTCAATTTCACGCGTTGACGTATTGGCGGAAGGTCTGCCGACGTCCCAAATATGATCTGAAGATGGCTCAAAGAGATGCGATGGAGACTGCCTTTGCGAAATTGATTTATTGGTAAGAATTTTTAATGTTGTGTTGCTTTCTGTGTTGCTTATCTTATTTATTACCTATGTCACCAGCAACTCACAGGCTAAGTTTGACGCCGAAGTAGACGTGTTTACCCGGAGGTGTGAAGAAGAGTGCCCCAAGCTGCTGGAGTATTTTCAAAGAAACTGGAAACCATGTAGTTCCATGTGGGCAAACCACGCTCGAGGAAAATTCTTCACTGCTGGTAACACGACGACCAACCGCATCGAGTCTAATTGGAATCAGCTAAAGCTGCTCCTTGAGAAGAAACCGCGAATCGACTTCACGA